CTGTTCTTCCTCTTATCTATCCTTTCTCCCAAGCTTTCATCCATCTTTCATTTACAACAATCGTAGTAAATGCACAAAAATTATAAATATAAGTAAAACGTAACATAGTGGTGCGATTTGGACGAGGTGTCGACGAGGTGGAAGGAGAAGTGAAGGATAAAAGTGGAGGCGATGGTGAGGATGGTGAAGGATAAGGCTTTGTTATAGTTGCAAATAAAATTTAAGAGTTATGTAAGTTACAAATAAAAATTAGGATTAATATATATGCAATTATTTAGGAAGAGCCATAGCATGTGTAAAAGAGCTTACTATTTTTAGTTTATAATAATATTATATACTCAACATCACAAGAAAGATAATCACGCAATAAATAAATTCACCACCTAAGTTGACGTGGTTTTATGTAAAATAAATAATCCCATCATATGCTAGAAAAATGGCGAAACTAATGTTAAATAGAACTTACAATTAGACATCTATATGTTTTCAATCCATAATTCCATATACATGATTTTGTTCTGAAATGTAATACTATGAAAAGTATCATAAAAAAGGAAAACAATATTCATATAATATTTCACAATATAAGTGTGCATGTTTATTCAAAAAATCCATGAAAGAAATATACATTTATATTTTATGTTACAAATACTTCTTCAAACATATATTTATATCCCATACATGGCAATATATCTTCTCAAATACAAACCTCAAGAGACATCTGCAAAAGATTCTATTATCATTTCCCTTTTATCTTTTTTAATCATCCCCAAATTTGTAGTTCAATAGTGCTGAATACTTTTGGAACACATAGGCATGGATTAAAAGAATATATACACAGAAATTGAATCCAAAATATTCTCTCATCCACCTAATTTTTCTCAGACTTTGAACAGCCCCATATATAATTTCCTAAATATGCAAGCATGCTGCAGATTTTGTCATGGTGATTTTCTTAATAGACGGCAAGAGATAGTGAAGTTTTTCCGCGAATCCAACTTTCGAAACTGCCTGTCACTTGAGGTGAGTTAAGTTTACCGAGATATCAGAATATCTGGAAGTAAAGACTAGTTGATCCATCCCCATACGATTTAAGATCGGCCGGTCTAACCATAGACCTGCACAAAGGGCACGTTCGCTCTCTCTCGAACCTGAAGAAAGAAAACATTTTGAATAGTTTATAATAATAGTAATAACTACAAATTTCAACAAAGGGAACTGATGTACAAAAATCATCTCTTTGAAGGGATTGAAGAAACATAACAGAACTAGTACAAATAAAAACAAACCATTCAGAAACACAGTCTTCGCAGAAGATATGCTTGCAGCGTAACACAATGGGTGTCTGCAATTTCTCCTGGCATATAGTACACAGGTCTCCAGCTGCATTTACCTAAACATAATCGAATGAAAAGTTTTGTTACGATATATACCTTCTAGTGCTTCCTTATGCTTGCAAAACATATCATGCACTAAAACTTGTTTTAACACTAAACAGATTAATATGGTATAATGTACACAATTATCACAAAATTAGTTCGAGAGCTTGATACAAAGCCCCAACCCCCACCCAAAAACAACATCATCAACATCAACATACCCAGTATATTCCCAACAGGTTGGGGTCTGGGGGGTCAGTTGTACGCAGACCTTACCCTTGTAATTGTAATTATACAAGGAGGTTGTTTCCATAGCGACCCAAGAAAAAAGAATCAGCAAATAGAACCGTTCTATCAATTTTGGGTACAGCTTTTCAGGAGTATGAAAGTGAAGAAAAATACAGAAATCTATGAGTGAGTCAAAGTGAGCTCAACCAAAAACATTGTACCTGCTCTGGCGTGGCACGGGATCCGTAATGAACTTCCTTCCTGGATAATGCCTTCGAGGCGGCAAATAAAGATCGAACCTGAATAACAGCATAATAGAGCATATGTTCATTAAGTCCAACAAACAAATACAAAAGTGACTACAGATATAATTGGAGAAATAAGAAGTACTCTGTTAATTGCCATACTTTCTCGACAATTGATGTTAGCTTGAAAGTTAAGTACAATCCTGTCGTTACTGATGAAAAGAGACTCCCATAGTCTTTGTTCAAGAAGAATTTATACCATACTGGGGTTGGCAACAAAGAACGGTAAAGAAGCAGTGCATACTCAACCAAGGTCAATATTTGGCCCTGGATAACCAAAATATCAAAATTAAATTCAGCAACTTACATGTTTCTATTACTAGATTATAAACAAATTAAGAGCATATATGTACCTGCCTGCGAAAATTATGGGCTTTACCATTCTTATAATACAGTAACAAAAGAAACTTCAGGATCATGGCTGCTAGTCGCGCCATTATATCTGAAAGTATAAAAATAAAAGAAAACATAAGAATTAAAAAAAAAAATAACCATATAAAGTTATAAACAGCTAAGTCTAGTTCCATCAATGTTGTTTTCTTGATGTGTTGAGAGTAGATTATGCCAGTAAGATGCTTTGGAAGATATTAGAGCACAAGTAAGATTTCCATGAAATTGACGAAAAGGTGATCTTTTCGAGCACTGTATGAAATTGAAAAGTTCCGTACGGTAGTCATCTTAGCAGAGATCTTCACACATTTTACCGTTTAGTGGAATTATGTTTATTTTATTCCATACCTTTAATTTTTTTTCCATTTCACTCTTCAGTTTACAGTTTTAACCATATATTATTGAACCTGATTTCTATATTCAAATATTCAATTCCAACCCTATAAATCATTGATGGGAGCTATTTACAATTTACAACCATCATATACTCAACTTTAAAATTTAAACATATAGTGTATAAGTGAGGTCCACTACTGCCATCCACATCCACATCAATTTCTCAATATTTTTCCTGTGGAGCTTACTGAGATCAATTTCATCCAATTATCTCTTATGTTTCTTCATTACTAGATCAATAAAACTTAAGCAGTTCCATCATTTACATGTAAATATGTTATAAAATAAGATTTCATCACACCATATTTTTCAATATAACAATTAAAAAAAAAAGACAATAAAACAAGTATCTTCCCAATATTACACCCTAAAATTTTTTCATCAATATGCTTATAAGTCAACACTTTCCTGCTTTTGCCGACAAAAAGGAAAAATAAGGGGATAGGGGGTGTGGAAGGAAGGAAAAAATGTCGATAGTAGCTAAGTGGAATGGAAGATCATTTTTCTCATTGGAAAGAAAACCATACAATAACGTACTTTCTAAATATTTTGCCATACCGCAGACTCATGGCAAGGCAGCATGTCATGGAAAACAATGATATGTTGAACGGACTGTCGTAGAGGGTTTATTTTTCAGTATAATCAATATCATAGAGGGCGACTGGAAAAAAATTAAAGAAAACTTTCATCTCGCCAATTAAAAGAGATGGACAGATTGAAGAAGAATTTGGATTAAAATTGAAATATTTGTTAGATTGGGAATGTATATAAGATAAAAATGCAGTAAAGTTCATGTGGTATAAAAATAAATTAAATATTAATTGATAGTATATATGTGAGTAGGCAAATAGTGTTTTGTGCTGGTAAATGTGCAGCAGTGATTGATTTTTTATTTTTAATTTGTTATTGATGAGACTGAGGAATATATATATATATATATATATATATATATATATATATATATATATATTTCTGAAACTGTTTTATATCCAACCACAAATTCAATTGGATAAAAATTGTCATGACAAACAAAAATGAAAAAGTTTTACATCCAATTGCACCCTAGTTAGACCTACCAATTAAGAAAAGCACCAACCAGCTCGGAATCCATACCGTTTACCAGGATGATGAATATCGCATGCCAGAAAGGTGGAATTGCTTTTGGAGGAATCATCAACAATGGAAGGAAAAGATCACTGCTCCAGTTACACCAGTAGATTCCTAATATATGAAGCATTAAGAAAGCAGAATAACCTACTAGGACAGTAATCTTCCTTTCCCCCTGAAAATCACGATTCAATATTTAACATATAACGGAAGCTTAGAAACTTAATTTATTCTATGCAATAAAATACCATACCTTTAGAGCAGTCTGTTTCCGCAGAACATCATCAGACTTGCACAAGACTATGGTGGAGAAAATGGTAACGACAAATCCTGGAAAAAAAAATTCTGAAACATCAAGAGTTTGGAGTAGAAAATGAGATGGATGACCATAAAAGCGAAAGGCACCCATCAAAAGAAAATAAATGAAAAAACATTTAATTTCATAGTAGATTATCTTGTTTGTTTTAGCTTCTAATGGTAGCAAGATAGACACCAATATTTCAGCTAAATAATCAAATGGCACGAACTCATCTGCAGCTAAGATGGAAGAACTGTGAGGTAAAACATCTTCAAACAGTGTTCTCGTGATTTTGTAAGTAAAGCTACAGTAACCTCACAATATATCAATCTACAAAGTCAACAGAGACAAGTGAAGTATCAAAACAAAATTGCACCAGCAAGCTTCAGGATCTTAACAGAACAAGTGCATGTAAAAGACAAAACTATTTTCACCTATTTAAATACTAACTGCTTCATTAACCTAGCTCTATCCGTTTTAATTCAAAGTAGAGAAGAACTCTTTCGATGGGTTCAGCTCCTCTCCTAACAAGTCAAGTGGCTACACTCCTGCCAGGATGCAGTAAGGTTTGTTTAGTTTAGGATGCTATGACTTTCTCCAACAGCTGTAGCTAAAGTTTTGATAGCCCCTCGTTAAGTATATTAGATGAATCAAAGAGGATTCACAATCTTTTCTTTTAGAAAACCTCTTATAGGCTACACTTCCCTCTCCAGCAGGACCAGATCTTGGATACAAAGAAGGTGAGTCCTTTTCTTCAGCCCTTTCATTTTTCAAAGTGAACTGCTTCTGAATAGTTACTTAAAAATTATATTTTGAGGATTCATGAAGCCATAGCGGTACACTAAAAAGTTGTTTTGGTGTTCATGATTTGTGCATAAACCATTACTCTGATCTTCAAGAAAGCAACCGTTCTTGCATCGAAAAGGATAAGAAATTCTTCTACACCACCAAAGAACAAATAATAAAAGAAAAAAGTGGTCCCCCATAATCCATCTATATAATTAAATTCTTCAGTCTTTAGGCATCATTACAAGGCGGATAAGAATAGCTAAACTCTTGTTATTGGCACACGTCTAATGGAACAAAACAGACCAGCTTACAGCATTATAATGAAATGTCCGCACCAGAAAACTCCCAAATACTATGCAACACATTTCTAGTCAAAACTGCCAATTCTCATCAGCAACCATTGACGATTTTACCAACACAAACTCCACACACCTTCTGAAATATCTTATTCCCGGGCAAATACACAACACATTAATCAGAACAAGAACATGAAGTAAAAAACAAAGCCACTGAAAAACAACCAAGAAAAAACAAAAAAAGAATAAAATAAAATAAAGAAACGAACATGACACCACCTTGCAAGTGCTGCCGGATAAAAACAATCAGCAACAGCAGTGTAAACGGAAGAACCTGCTCGACCCACCTAGCAGCCCGCCGAACATCATACCTCCGCTGCGACGATCCTTCCCTGTTACCAGCGTCACCGCTGGCGCTAGCACCTGGTCCATCCCCGTTCGCACCATCGTCCCCAACCATGGACCCACTCGCACCCAATCCCACCCCGTCCTCGCCATCGCCTCCACCCTCAGCTCCATCCTGCTCCCCCAGTATCCGAATCGAAACCTCGCCGGGGCTATTCCCAGAATCGCTAGGGTTTACACCATTCGCGGCGGATCTGGAACTCTCGGCGACGAGAGGGAGGGCTTCTTCGGAGTAGTAATCCGGCCGTAACAACCGAACGACGCCAGAGTACTCGATTAGGGATGAAACAGGGGACCGCACAAACCGCATGGCGCGTGACCGGATGAGTCGTCCGGTTCCCCGGCCGCCGCTCGGCGACGAATTCGACGCGAAATCCGAAGCGTCAGACTCCATGAGAAAAAGGCTAAAAAAAAAATTCAAAAATGGGGAAAGAGGGTTTCTGATTCTTCGTGGATGGGATGAAGAATAACACCTGAGATATGTAGAGAGATTCTCAGTTACAGACAAATTTGCAGAATGAAGGAGAAGTCAGCTGAGCGGCTGAGTGAGGAATAGCCACAGTAATATAAATAATAAAATATTAATTTGTGCAATATAATTTTAAGGGGAATTCATTACGTTTAATTTAATAGATAAAAAATTGATTTGAATTTTGAGTGAGTGTTTGAAATTATATTTAAATAATAATTAAAATATATAAATGAAAATAATAAATTGATATATTTAATTATTGATAAAAAAAGAGTACGAGAATTAAATTAAAATTGAGTTTGATTTTGGGTTAGTACGTACTATTACCCAAAAAAAAAAAAATCTCATAACCTAATTTAATTTAAGTTAGAAAAATACCACAATGTAAGTTATCAATTTAGTTTGAAACTAATATCACACTTGTATAACACCCGTGTATTATACAAATGCTTGCTAAAAAAATATTCTTAAATTCTTAAAATTAATGAGAGACATTATTTTAAATTTTATTTACATTTTTATAATATATATATATATATATTATTAAACATTTTAGAATGACACTTGTTACTTGTGCGAGTTACATGTGTTATATTTTAGTAATTTTTATAAATTATATCATATAACTACTTGAAATATAAATATATTAATTGATACATAATTTACTTTTCTAATTACATAAAAAAATATTGTTATAAAGATAATATAATTTTTTTTTTATACATACAATGTGGATGTTAAATCGAAACTCATCTAGAGATGATTAATTTGATATATTATATATGTAAAACTGATAAAAAATACAAAAGTTATTAACTTTAAAAATACAAGTACAATTCCATGATTATAATAAGAAATGATATTAAAATGCAATTGATTCATGTAATAAGACCATAAATAATCAACATATTTATGGTTAATTCGAACCTACTTATTTTTTTATTGGAAGTAACTAAAATCTATCCAAACGAACTATGTAATTTTGCCACATACAAACTCGGAATATGCAAGTCTATCACTTAGTCTCATCGCGTTTTGAATTAATATATAGGAGTGAATACTCTTAGGCCATAGAGACTTTCCTCATTTTATTCGTTTGACACTAAATATGCAAAATGACGCAAAATAGTACAAAATAACGTAGCACAATAGCATTTAGCCTATGCTATTAGGACAAAACTAGTCGTGACCCATGCAATGCACGGGACAATATATTTAAAGTGAATTTTTTAAAGTTCGAAGGATATTAAATTGTGAAAGAAAAATTACACATATAGCAGCTTAAACAGTTCGCAAACATCATGGGAAAATCATATCATGTATTATTGAAAACCTCTTTATATACAATATTTTTTGCTTGATTTGTTTGAGAATCATCGTCATCACAAACTAATATTTTCAAACTATTTCAGTTGCAAGATACGATAATGTATAACCGATCCTGGCTGAATAACGACTTCTTAAAAAATAAAACCAACATGGGATAATGATTGTTTGTAGCTCTTATTTATAGTCATGTCGTAATAAACCTTAATTGAGAACTGACGTCGTAACTCGAAAGGAATATGACATCATATAGAGTTATAGTCATTTTATGATTCAATACATTTGTACTTGTGTGGTCTCCACTGAGTAAGTTACATTGCAAACATGAGTGGAGAGTTTTGTCACAACCGTGTCCCTTTTTGCACAAACTCGTAAAATAATTCATGTTCTGCAACAACATGACCGGAGTTCCAATCTTCAAAGTCAACTCATGATTTGGTATATCTAAATATTTGATATTGTTCAAGACTCTAGCGTGTGAATATTAGAGATAATTTGGGAGTACCGTCGGAGCTTACGTATGTACAACCATTAGTCAATTTCAACGATGACATGTACTCATTAATAAACTCAACATCATCAAGCGTCGGAGCTAATATAGCCAGGTCTTTCAAATAACTGGGACCATCAGTCGCATGCTTAAACATTGGATGTGTGTTTTCAACAATTTGATCTATCGGTTCATCTATCAGTTCACCACGAACACAGCCCAAGGAAGTCTGATTCCAGTATTGGTAACTTATCTTCATTGACTGCCAATATATATATACTAGTGCGTAGTCACGTGCGATGCACGGATAAATATTATTAAATAATAATTGTGAATAGGTCCCAAGTTCGAGTGGTGGAGAACCATTATCCTATTTTAAAAGAGAAAAAAAATATTATAAATTAAATATGTGAGGTTAACATGTGATATAATTTACCGTCTTATATCAGTTTATTATCAGGAATATAAAATTAACTTGTATAAGAGAACATAAAGTTTGCATGTTTAAAATATTCAAAAGATGTAAAAGTATGTAAAAGTTGATGTATTATTATTATAAAAGATGTAAAGTCACCTACAATTTTTTTAAACTATTTGGAAAGAAGACATGTTTAAAAATATTTAAATTTTACATTTGTATGAAAGATGTTTTTTAAACTCAGTTATAAAGAAAATATGTTTAAAAATATTTAAATTTAATATGTATATATACGTGTATATGTATATATAGATATAATACGACATGATAAAATATTACATAAAAGTACTAAAATATCATAAGCCTAAATAATAACATTATAATTTTTTTCGAGAAAAAAATTACCACTTATATATAAAATAAATAATGACATGATATCGAGAATTATGACGGTATTTGTTATTATTTTTTATAAGCTGTTATCGTTAAAAAGAAATTTTGTACGCATAACAATTCACGCTTTATGCAGATTTATTAATTTTACAATTACAGATCGAGATTAATGTAAAATATAACAAATAAAATGGAATTTTATATATAAGTGATAATAAGACAAAAATTGAAGACAATATTTAAATCTGTATTTTTTTCTATTAACTTTTTATAATGTGTATTTAATATTTTTGGAGGAGAAATTTATGATAAATCTATTTCTCGT